CCCGGCCTCGCGGCCGGCCATCGCCGCTTGGGGGCGCCCCGCGGTGCAGCTGCCCGCGCGGCGCGGAAGCGCCGCCTCCTGACGTCGCGCGGCTGCCGCGCTGGCACAGTCCCACGAGGGCTCGGCACCCGCCGCGGCTGACGGGCCTGTTTTCCACCACCACCACCATAAGTTGGAGGGGGGAAGGAGGAGGAGGGCGAGGAGGAGGAGGAGGAGGACGAACAGGAGGAGGAGGAGGAGGAGGAGGAGGAGGAGGAGGAGGAGGAGGAGGAGGAGGAGGAGGAGGAGGAGGACCCACCCCTCCAACTCATGGTGGTGGTGGTGGAAAACACGCCCAGCAGCGGCAGCCCCGCGAGGGGGGCGGCGGAAGCGGGCAGAGACGGGCGCGCGCTGGGAGAGCGGGCAACCCGGGGGCACCTGCTGCCGCTCGCTCGAGCAGCAGCTCGAGCCAAAGGGGAGCGCGAGGGCGCGAAGTTCGATATCCAAGCTCCGCGCCATCGCGTTCTCGGCGCAGCGCGCGGCGCGAAGCTAGGCGCCCTCCTCCTCCTCCTCCTCCTCCTCCTCCTCCTCCTCCTCCTCCTCCTCCTCCTCCTCCTCCTCCTCCTCCCCCTCCTCGTACGGGGGGGCGCCAGGCCCAGCCGTCGCAACCGATCTGCCCGTGGCCGGCACGCCGAGGCGCGTCCGTCGGCGGCCGAGCGTGGAGGCAGCTGCGGGCCACGGGGCGGCCCATGGAGAGGTCACCGCGGGCCCCGTGCGGCCCACGAGCGAGCCTCCGGGAGGCGCCCACGGCCGCCGCCGTCTCCGGAGGGCGGCCCCCCCGGGGACGCCCCGAGAGGGGGCGGGGTGGCCCCAGGAGGCCGCAGGACGCCTCCTTCGGCAGTAAATCATGGGAGCCTGGAAAACCCTGTGACTTCTATCCTTCAGCGTCGGTTAGCGTCGATCAGCGTCTGGGAGTCGATGAGACAGCGCCGATTCGGCGTCGGCCAGCGTCGCTTCGTGTCGATTTAGCGTCGCTTCGCGTCGACTAGCCTCGATCAGCGCGGAGTCGCAGGAGCCGACAAGCTGGCATGGGAGGCTCCCGTGGGTTGCCACCGAAGGGTGGCCCCAGGAGGCCGCAGGACGCCGCCCGCGCAGGGCCCCACGGAGGAGAAGCTTGCCCGCTCCTCGGAGGCTCTCGCACATGCCACCGACGGCCGCCCTTCGCGCCTCGGCTCTTCGCTCGGTCGTTGTCCCTCCGCCGCGGTGCCCCGGTCACGCGCAGAAGGGGGGGGGGGTAGTGGGGGGAGGGGCGACGGCTTCTCAGCAGCACCCCTGCAACTCCGAAGGCGCGGCCCTTCTCCGCAGATCTAAGACCTGGGCCTTCCAGCAGGCGGCCTCCTCCTGAGGAGCCTCTTCCCACCCCCCTGCCACCTTGTGCGCGCCGCCAGGTGTCCTTCCTCTGGCCCTCGCTCGTTTGCCTTTTCCCGGGCCCTTGTTCGGTCCCGTGGCTCCCTGGGAGTTTGCGCTTGACGCTAGCCCACGTCCAACGATGTTTGACACTCCCCACCTTGAGGCTCCATGTGGCTCCAAGCAGGGCCCAAGAGGCTTCTCGAGTCTCCAGGAAGACCGCGAGAGCCCCCAGGAGGGTCCAACGCGCCCCCGGCCTGGCCCAGGACGGCCCGGGCTGGCGTCCAAGGGTGCCCCAAGACGCCTCCAACATTGTCCAGGACCGCTCCATGACAGGCACACGACCTTTGGGACGGCCCCCGGACCTCCCGAAACGGCCTCGTGATGCCCACGGGAAGACCGAGCTGGACAGCAGAGGCCCCACGATGGCCGAATAAGGGCTCAGCAAGGCCCCCAGGGGTTTCAAGGGAGCTTCAAGGTGGTCCTCATACGGCCCAAATGTGGGCCCCACTGCATCTCGGTTCGTTCCATCACAGGGCTGCGTGGATGCGCAGCAGTGGCGGTCCGCAGCAGCGACCGCCGCCGAGCAGCAACGCAGCACGAGCAAGCCGACGCAGCACGTGGCGGCAAGCAGCGGCAGCAGCAGCAGCAGCGGCAGCAAGCAAGCAAGCAAGCAAGCAAGCAAGCAAGCAAGCAAGCAAGCAAGCAAGCAAGCAAGCAAGCAAGCAAGCAAGCAAGCAAGCAAGCAAGCAAGCAGGCAAGCAAGCAGCAGCAGCCCCGTGCCGCGTTGTGCCTGTCGTGCGTTGTCCTTCGCAGGCCTGCCTTTCGAGATGTTGCTCGGTGCCGTGAGCGCTCAGTTCTACACCCCTCCGTGCGAGTGCGTTTGTGCGAGCGGCAGTCGCGATAGCCTCGTGACCCTCTGGGGTCAGCGTGCTCAGTCACGCAAGCAGGACAGGAAGTGAGCACTCGATCAGGCAGGAGGTCCTCACCTGTGCATGCGAGTAAGCCTGAGTGGGCGGTAATCCACGGGTCTGCCCCCGTTTATCCTCATTGCCAGGTCCAGTGCGTTCCAGCGGGGAAGGGGATCAAAGGGGAGCGGATCGGCCCGGTCCGTCCCAACAGGCCCCCAGAGGCCACCGAGGGGCCCAAGGTGGCCTCCAGAAAGGATGGGTGTTTGCGGTTGAGAGGATGGCCCCCAGAGAGACTCCAATGCTTCCGAATATGGCCATCGTGTTTTCTAAGAGGGCCCTCACGAGGACCTGGGATGGCCGAGCACCAGGGCTCGCCCCGACCGCCCCCCAGACTCTCCTGGAAACGGCACCGGGAGGCCCAGGGGACGCCCAGATGGCCCAGGGAGGCCCAGCAGGGCCCACGATCCTGATCCAAACTTCGGGAAGGCCTCGAGGTGGCTCCAGAAGGACCAAGAACTCGGCGGCGAGCGAGGGGGGAAGTGAGAAGGGGCGGGCCTTGTCAGAAGGCTTGTAAGTCCCCCAGCCCTCCGAGAAGTTTTCTAAGCCTTCCCCGAGGTTGTGGAGAACCACTCAGAAGGCGCAGGGGCTTCTGAGAAGTCCCGCCGCCTTCTGAAAGGACCTTCTCGTTCTCGCTTCCCTCCTCGCTCGCCGCCGACCAGATGGACAAGAGCGGCCCAAGGGATGCCAAGGTGTTGAGTCACAGGTTCGTCGATGCCACCCCTCAGGCGGAGGAGGAGGAGGAGGAGGAGGAGGAGGAGGAGGAGGAGGAGGAGGAGGAGGAGGAGGAGGAGGAGGAGGAGGAGGAGGAGGAGGAGGAGGAGGAGGAGGAGGAGCTCCTTCGGAGCCCGTGCGGCAGCCGCTCTCCCGGCTCATAGGGAACGCGCCCGCCTCGCTCCCCTGGAGGGCACGAGCTCGCCGGGGAGAGACCTCGCCGATCGACGACCGGAGATGGCCCCAGCTGGGCCGTCTCCGCCCAGCACGGCAGGTTCGTGTCGTGGCGCTTTTGGGCGTCGCGAACTGGGGGGGCGATAGGGGGGCAGCGAGGGCTGCAGAACAGGGGCCCTTCAGGGCCCCTCACAAGGCCCTTTAGGGCCCAAAGGGGGGCCTTCAGGGCCCGAACGGAGCACCTTTCTTCCCTCCTCCTCCTTCTCCTCCTCCTCCTCCTCCGCCCCGTCCTCCTCCTCCTCCTCCTCCTCCGCCTCCTCCTCCTCCTCCTCCTCCGCCCCCTCCTCCTCCCCCCATTCAGCGACGCCCAAGGGAGAGCCCCCACCGAGTTTGCGATCTGCGTCGGTGGGGCCTGGGGGGCACCACTTTGCCCTCGTCGGGCCCCCTCGGGGCGTTGCGGAGAACTCTGTCGATGTCCTCGCTCCCCCTCCCAGGATGCGGGTTGCAAGCCGCACCCGCTGCAAGCCATAGCAAGCAGCACCAGGGAGCAGCAGAAGCCTGCAGCTGGAAGCAGACCTCTCGAGACCACCGGCGGCCTGAGACACGAAGGCGCAACTGCCCACTCGCTCTACCCGAGGGGGCGCAGGCGAGAACCCGTGGCATCGGTTCAGACAAAAACAATCGGCTCTGCCTGCCTCGTGTCCCATCCGCTTCGGGGTTAGGAGGGCTGCACCAAGCCGCGGCGGGCAGCAGCCCGCACCGTTCAATCAGGCAGAGGCAGCAGAACCTCCAGGCAGCGGGCACCAGCAACACACGGGGCAGGACAGCAGCAGGCGGCAGAGAGCGACAGCGAGCGGACGAGGCAATCGAATTGGCATGCAACCAGGCAAAAACATCATATCGGGCCCGCCCGCCAGCATGCAGGCAGGAGAGGCTGGGGGGGGGGGCAAGCTGTCAGGCCGGCAGAGCCACGGCCACGCGCGCAGGACAGCACACGAGCAGGCGAGCGGGCAGGCGAGCTTCACCCCTGCGCGCGAGCAAGCTGGTGTGGTCGTAAGCTCACGGGCCAGCTCCAGTCTAGGCTACAGTACCGGAATCAGCGCGTGCGAAAAGACGGCCGGGTGGCATCGGCCCGCCTCGGCCCGCTGCGGGCAGGCGCTCCGAGCCCCTGGAGGCCCCCAAGAGGGCCCGAAGACGGCCGAAGACCGTCCAAAAGGGCTTCCGAGACGGGCCCCGAGCGCTCGAAGACGCCCAAGACAGCCGCCCGACGGCCCAAGAGGCCACCCAAATGTTCCAAGTGGGCTCGAGATAGATCCCCCCCAGGAGAGCCCGAACAAGGACAAATCGTGCCAATCCCTAGGGAAAACATACATTTCAGGAGTTCCTGTGCTTTTCGTTTTCGAAGCGTGCAAGACGGCCAGGCAGGCCCTCAAGATCGTCCCAAGACGCCTCAGTATAGGCTGCCTGGAGTGCCCCAAGACGGCTCAAGACTGCGCCAGGACGGCTCCTCAGGCGCCCATGGCAGCCCCGAGAGGGGGCCAGGACAGGGTGGGAGCGCTCCCGAGGGGCCCCAAGAAGGGGCCAGGAGGGAGGGCCCCAAGAGGGCCCCGACAAGGCCCCATGACGCATGTACTTGGGTGCCCCTCTCGCAGGCCCAAGAAGCATATCAAGTACATGCGGTTTTGGGCCCTCTTGGGGCCTCCTGGGGGCGCTCTTGCGGCCCTCTTGGAGCCTTCGGGCCTCTTAAAGTCAGGGACAGGTGCATTCTGCCACAGAAAGGCCTCTCGCGGCAGAATGGTGGGCCCGCGCCCAGCGGCGTCCTGGGCTCCTCTTGGAGCCCTCTTGGGTCACTCTGGGGGCCCTCGTCGTGCCCTCTGGCACGACGGCCCCAAGACGGTCCCGACACTGCCCCAGGGACGCTCGAGCTGTTCAACTTCGATGAGCTGTTCACCCACGGTGTGCGAGTCCCAGGTTCAGCACACCGTGGTTTTAATCCACGGGTTCGCACTAGTCAGCTACAATTCTGGCATCAGTGCGTGCGAAAAAGGTGGGCAGTGGCAGCATGCACTGTGCCTGCTGCGCGAGCTGAGGGGTTCGAGGCTGGAGCCAGACGTCGTAAGCTACAGCGCCGGAGTCAGTGCTTGCGAGAAGGGCGGGCAGTGGGCGCATGCGCTGTTGTCGTTCCGCGAGCTTTGGGCCGCGCTGCTGGAGCCTGACGCCCTCTGCTACGGTGCTGGAGTCAGTGCGTGCCAGAATGACGGGCAGTGGGAGCAGGCCCTGTCATTGATCCGCGAGCTGTGGGAGTCGACGTTAGAGCGGGGTCCCATCAGCTGCAATGCAGGGATCAGCGCGTGCGAGAAGGGCGGGCAGTGGCAGCAGGCGCTGTGGTTGCTGCGGCAGGCGCGGACTGGCCTAGAGCCAAACACTATCAGCTACAGCGCTGGCATGAGCGCGTGCGAGAAAGGCGGGCAATGGCAGCATGCACTATTGTTGCTCCGCGAGTTGCGGGATTCGGACTTGGAGCCGAACGTCGTCAGCTACAGTGCCGGAATAAGCGCGTGCGAAAAAGGTGGACAGTGGCAACGGGCATTATTGTTGCTGAGCGAATTGTGCGAGTCGAGCTTGGAGCCAAACGTCATCAGCTACAGTGCTGCCATCAGCGCGTGCGAAAAAATGGGGCAGTGGCAGCATGCCTTATTGATGCTGAGCGACTCATGCGAATCGGCGGTGGAGCTGGGGGTTATCAGTTACAACGCTGGAGTCAGTGCCTGCGAGAAGGGTGGGCAATGGCAGAAGGCACTGTGGCTGCTCAGCGAGCTACGGGAAGCAAAGCTGGAGCCGAATGTCAGGAGCTTCAATGCTGGCATAAGTGCTTGCGGGTCATGCCAGCAATGGCAGCGGGCCATGGGGTTATTATGTAAGATGTCCGATGCGGACCTCAGGCCAGACGTCATTAGCTACAGTGCTTGCATCAGCGTTTTCCAGGAAAGCGGCCACTGGCAGCTGGCGCTGTTATTGTTCAACGAGTTTTTGGAATCGATGTTGGCAGCAACCGCTGTCAGCTACCTGAATGTAATCAGGGTTTGCGAAGAAGGTGGGCAATGGCAGCAGGCATTGTCGTTGCTCAACCAGTGCTGGGAAGCGAAGTTGGAAGCGACCGTCCTCTGCTACAATGCTGGAATCGGTGCTTGCGGGAGATGTAGGCAGTGGCAGCAGGCGCTGTGTCTGCTCAGCGATATGGAGGAGCTCACAATAGAGATGGACCATGTCACCTGCTGTGCAGGAGTAAGTGCTTGCGAGAAGGGCGGGCAATGGCAACGGGCCCTGTCATTACTCAGTGATTTACGCGCATCTGGATTGGAGAAATCAGCAATCAGCCACAGCATAGGGGTGAGTTCGTGCAGGCATCGTGGAGAGTGGCAACAGGCGTTGTCGTTGCTTCGCGGGATGTGGCACTGGAATTTGGAGACGGACGCCGTGACCTACAATTCCGGAATGTGCGCTTTGGACAGCAGTGGCCAGTGGAAGCAGGCGCTGTTATTGACTCGCGAGCTGCGAGACATACAGTTGGAGCTGGATGTCACGGGCTGTGGTGCCGTAGCGCGTGCGTGTGAGAACAGCATGCAGTGGCAGCGGACGCTGTCACTGCTGTACGAGTTTCGCTCAGAGGAGCTGGAGCTCGATGTCATCGTTTACAATGCTGGAGTTTGTGCCTGCGAAAATGGAGGGCAGTGGGAGCGAGCGTTGCTGCTGATCTGCGAGATGTGGAAGGCGAGGGTGGAGCTGGATCCCGTCAGCTGCTTCACTGCAGTCCGTGCTTACGAGGAAGGCGGGCAGTGGCTGAAGGGAGTGTCGATGCTCAGCGATCTGTTTTGCACCTTTGATGGCACTCTCTCGCTGTTCCGCCCGTCGCGGGGTACGGAAGAGCCAGACCGCATATCGTTGGTTTGATAGTGTAGCGGAGCGTGCAGCATCTGATTAAGCAATGGCTTATATTAAGTGTGTTGGTTGGGTAAACAGTCGCTCGTTTGTGTAGATTTTCACGCGGCCCCTTCAATCTTCTGAGAAGTGAAGTGCGTCATCGTCCTCATGCAGTACTTCTCGCGCATGCTCGGAGTCCGACAGTTGTTTTATAAATCATGATTTCAACAGAGGGTCGTACTTCTGTCTTCTCTAGGAGGAGATGGTGCCAAAGTCACGAGGCGTGCGAAGTGAAGTTGGAGCCTTTTCTTCTCGGGGGTGATGATGCTAGTGTGTC